AAAAAGATTTCCTCATCCGCAGCATCTTACAGGATGCTCTGTCAAAAAAAGCTTATTACACACTATCATTTAACGTAACAGTTCTGCAAATGAGGACCTGAACAGTGTGAAACACAGGCAATGTGCTTAATCCTAGAGAGGCAAATAAGAGGAGAAATAAGTCGTCAAACTATGTAAAAATATTCAAAGACAACTGTAAGATCAATTGGTTTTAAAGATTCTTGTTAATCGGGAAAAAAAAAAAAAAAAAAAAAAAAAACCTTTACAGAGGAGCTTGTATTTATGACTGAATGGAAGAGAGGACCGCTCCAAAAATAAAGATACTGAAGCAAGATACAAGGCGAAAAAAGTGAAACCAAGAAGTGATACGGAGAGTCGACTTAACCAAATATCCAAGTTAATGAACATTATCAGAAGAAACGGTCCATGCAAAACCCACGAAAATATACCAAACTTGCAAACTGTGGCATCACTTCAGAAGTCGTGTTTTTGAAAAAGCAAAGGAAAAAGAAAGAAACACTATTACAAATTACCTACCAGTTGTCCTGGCCAGCCGTACTGAATTAGTGCAAGCAAACAGTGTTTCATATGCGAGTTTATAATCTCTAACAGCCCAGGAAAAAAGCAAACAAAACCGTAACCATGCTGCATGAGGGCAAATGTGCAGAGCCGTGAGGTGAGAAGGTGGCAGGTGAGCTCCGTCGAATGCAAACAAGTGAGCCTAACAACTGTGGGACAGCCAGGAGAAACGGGAGAGCTGCAAGGTAAACTATTTGAAAAGGACCGAGAATAACTGGTTAGTCTTCCTTCAGTGCCCAGCGCAAGAAGCCACACTATGAAGTATGACAAGAGCGAGATAACTTTAGAGAACAGGAAAAGCAATGCTCACCAAGACATTGCTGTAAGACAAATCATGAAGTGGTATTTAGACAATCACTGACTTGGTCACCAATTTAAAAAAAAAATACTGCCATAGATCACAGAGCTAGAGAACAGAGCAGTCGTTCTTCCAAGGAAGTATGTTATGTCATCATAATTTCTCACAGGTAACCTAAACACAACACAGTTTAACAAACAGCAAGTTACAAGGTGCATCCTGCTATTTGGTTTGTGGAATGGACATCAATCTATTAATAAAAAAAATAAAAATGCCTGAATCTCCTCATTCTTTCAGAAGGGACAAGATAGGCTCTCACAATACATGTGTCTTCACCTTTTCATAGCTTTCTATCCAGCTGATAATGAAAGTACCCCACTTCACCTAGAATACGTACCCTGATTTCATGGCTGTATTTTTTTTATATAAAATTACTTTTTAAATTACTAGGCTGCCAATAACAAAGGCCGTTCTTTTTCTTTTCCGTGACAACAGAATTGGAACTAGGTGGGGACACAAATTGCTCCCCCTTCATAGCAAGAATCAGCTACTAATGTCGATGATCCAGATTAAAAGGCTTACGAGTATCAGTTCTCTCATCCATATACTCCTCTTGCTCTTCATCACATTATCAGTTTTGAAGTTTCTATATTCTTCTAAAAGCATGCTTGATTCAACGGTAGAACAACTCCACCTATCTTTAGTTGCTTCACAGCATCTAAAAAGGCTTACAATCCACTCTGTATAACAAACGTTTATTCAGAAACAGGTAATACATTATCTTCTCCAATCCCTAATGTTTCCTCCCCCTCCCCCAATTATTTTTTAATAAAACACAGGTGTTTGATGGGCAATCTAAAAAAGGAGAACAATAGCTGTCTTAGGTCCCCTCCTCTACAAACATCTGCTGTTCACATGAAGCACCCTACCAATAATGGTGTCATTGGCTTCCAAACCAAAAAAGAGTACTCCGGAAAAGTAGTCCTGCCAAGTCCTCCGTTATTTCCACGGCTAAAAGGGATACAGTGAGATAGAGGAATGGTTTGCACGAGCTAGATTGAGCAAAGAGTTAATACAGAACAAGAAAGCAAAAGAAACATTGGGTTGACCAAGAAATGGAATCTGGACCTACGACGATTACAGAGTTCATTAAAGTTCAGCGGAGCTGAACAAAATGGATTAGGTTAGTCTCCTAGCAAGAAGGATCAAGTTCAAACCCCAACCCGATTCTGGACGTGGTTCTTTGCTTTCCTCTCTTCTAATACAATTTGAACAAACACAAACGAATGGAGCTACCGGGACTTCAAATGTCCATGGCAATAACGCTCTACTAACAAAGGGGAAGTGCCACCTCGTGGCCTGTGGCTTGTCACAGATGCTCACTGGCCCAAGGTACATCCTGGCTGCTCTGCAATGGTCTTGCTTAACACTCCTCTCCTATGTGTTCCTTACAGAGCACTACCTGCTCTCCTCTCCAGAACCTCTCCCTGAAGCCATCAAGCACAGCACTCACCCTCCAAATCCATGCATGTGAGCAGCATGCCTGCACAGCAGCCAAACATTGCCCAAATGACCTCTCTCAAAGTGAGTTCTCAGGCACAAGGAAAGACTGCTTCCTACGTATTAGTACCTGAAAAAGGCCCCAGCTCCTTCCTTTTTAAGGGAGACTGAGTTAAGTTAGAAGGTAAGAAAAAAATTAATGTCCCTGCATCAAGAGGATGCAATAGTCTAATGGTAGTGAAACGCTTGGATTTCCTCTAGCTCTGAACACAAGACTGGTTCTTATTTTTCAGTCCAGAAAGAAGAGAGCAACCGAGCCTGACCCTACAGAGCTAATACAGTCATTGTACAAATGCCAGAGCCTTTCTTCCCCTCACTCCACCTCTCTGTGTTACCAGAGCTGAAGCATCCCTCCCATAGCACAATGCGTGGTGCACTTGTGCATACGTCCCTTCTGCCTGGTGCCTCCATCGGCCGGTATACACAGCAGGAAGCTCAGTTTTTCACATTTCTTCTCAATGTCACAACTGCTGAGCAGAAAAATGTCCAACAGCCAGAATGAAGTAGTATGCCACCGAGTGCATACAAGTCAAAGATGCAAGATGGTGCTTCCTGTACAGAGCCACACCTGACTTTGTACCCAGCGCAGGAATTTCAGAAACACTGTGGTGTTCTTGCCTGTTGATCACCAAGGGGATGCACCTTTTACCTAAAGGTCAGTCAGGAGAAAAGAGGAGGAGATCGACCACTCCTTCCCTCAAAGTCTATGTGCACTTTTAATGGCCACTAGGGGCTCTGGAGTAAAGGAAGGGAGTTACATGGTATATGCTTGGTAATACATTACTGGCAGAAGGGGGAGGTTATTCTTTTGGAAAAAAAAAAAAAATCATGGAAGAAAACTCCAACTATGAAAACAGAAAGTACACACACAAGGGGAAACACTATTGTACAGTAAGGTAGCGATCATAGAAAACAAAAAATTTCAAGGCAGGCAAATGCAAATAACATCTGCACTCCTGCACTTTTCTCATTCCCCAACTTAAATGAGTTTTCCAGTCCACTGCTTGCTCCCCCTTCTCAGAGTTTAATTTTGAATTCTGTGGGCTGCACAGAGGCAGAGACCCCTGAGGATTTGAAGAGTGCCTTCAAGATAGTGTCAGGGTCCACTTCAGCTGGGGGATTTGAGGAGGCGCTTGCACTTGACCGGCGTGGTTCCCCTTCCTTCTTCACTGAAGGGGTATCACTCAATCGGCTGGAGGATTGGAAAAAAAAAAACCAAGCAGTATTTAACCTCTCATTATGAAATAAAATTTAACACTATGTCTGCATTTACCGTTATTGGTGTTGCCCTCTTACCAATATTAGAGATAAAAGTTTTAAATATGCTTTCCTCACAAGAAAACTTCCTCATCTCAGACTCATTTTGAACCTCAGGGCTGCTAACACTGAGTCAAGCTACATTGCACTCAGCTGAATACAGAGCACCACAGAGAGGAAGACAAGGAAAAATATTCATGGGACAACAATTTGCCAGCTGTTTCCCTCCCCTCAGGTTCTCCTCAAAACAGAACCTGCAAACGTGTTTGATTCTTCCCCCCACCCAAAGGACACTTACAGCAATATAGGCTGGTCTGAGGTGATGACATTCCCGTTCATATGAAGATTGCATTTCATTGGTTGACCTAAACAAAAAAACAATAAAAAAGTCCTTCTATCAGAATTGTGGGAAGGCAAGAGCCCAGAAATACCACACAACAGTGCAAGTAATAGAGTTCCGCATGCTGGGGAAACATGAGAAAGAACAGTTTATACCTCTTTTGTTGCAAAATCACAGCAACAGAAGAGCCACTGAAACGCTCAGTACTATGTGAAGAATCACACTAATTAAGAAGTTACACATAGGTACAAAACCCTTAGCAGAGACACAAGAGGACCTCCTATTCTCAGCTGTCTGCTGCTCATCTGACATTCATAACATGTCACTCATCTAGAGAAAGAAAAAGCATCTATTTCCAGCTAAAAATTAACAGCTAATTTCAGTCTATAACAACATTGCAGGTGGATCCAGATTAAAAATTGCATTGTTCAAATTCTATGGAGAAGCTGATACTAATTGTTTTACAAGTCCAATTCAAAATGTCTCTGACTACGCCTTGAGACTTTTGCAAATACCAGTGTTATTTGTACTTTCCAAACACCTACTCCGTAAGCAGGTGAAGCTTTCCTAAGGACTATCAAGCTCCTGGCACTGGATTAGAATCAAAAGAAATTTCATCTGGAAGTTAGACCAGCAGACTCACTGGGACCCTGCCTCTAGCTTTGAGCATTCTATTTCCAAGAAAAAGCTGTTTGGTTTTTTTTAATTTCACTTAAATAAACTGTGCATATATTCAGCTAGTTACACAGGAGCGTATTACATGGTCTACCTCAAACTGGTTTCCTGGCACTTCCTTTCTTTTGGTAGCATATGAGCATCTGAGATGCTTTTAAACTCTCCGCTGAGGTGGAAAAGTCATCGTTGATTTATCTATCCGAAATGCAACTCTGGTATCCGACTTACCGTCTAAGCATCTGTTGTTGTATTTCTTATATGCTGTGATAGCATCTTCTTTCTTCACAAATACTACCTCAGCCACTCCAGGGTGCACCAGCCGGGCTCGCTTCAGAGCACCACACACACAGAATAATTCCTGAGTGCAGAGAGTTACAGTCATGACCAGAGTCACATCAAAGGTACCACTTCAACCAAAGGCACCGAGAGAGAAAGGCTTGGTTTCCTAATTCCACCACCCATCCTGCTTAAGTAAACACACGGCAGAATCTTGACACTTGTCTTACTGTGTTTGCTATGATATGAGTACTGGGCATTAGTAATACAGGTTGCACAAGCAGAGAAGTTCAAGGCCAGTACTCTGTACCGTTTGTCACACATGAAGACCAGGCTCATTTTCAGCCTGCTGAGAATGGAAGCACCTAGACAATTTGGATCGGGGCGTAAGTTCCAGGAGAACTTGGCGTGAACTCTTCTAAGTGATGTCAGGTATCTCAGTACATCCCAGAAATGGGATTTTGTCCCATCTTCTTAAGCACACACTTTTTCTAAATAAGTGAACAAAATCCAAAACAATCAGTAACCCTCAAAGTTTTTGCAAGGAAAGCAAACCTACGTCATACCCCTCTTCACTGCATTCACCATAGATCAACTGATTTATCAAAAGAGGTAGGGTAAGGGAAGGAAGTGTCACTCATCCACAGTTTGGCAGTAAGCAACACTCACAACAATGTCTTCCTCTGTGACTCGAGGATGCAGATTGTTTACGGTCATTTTTGTGCCTTCCAAAGGACTGAACGCCAGCTGCCAACACAAACAAATGCATCACAAAAAAGGTCAGTAATGCAGCAGGCAAGACAACACAGCAGAGAAAGCATTAATTAAAGTCACTAAAGGGATGTCTGGGAAAGTCTGTACACACACACACACGCAGGAGCGTGTTTACAAAAACCCCAGCTCAGCTGATGGTGAAAAGGAGCCCCTTCTCCATGCTCATTTCTCTCTGAATAACTTTTCTCTTTCACTCCCAAGTATAACACTAACTTAATCCGCACACATACACAGTGCTCTCTGGTCATGCCCACACTTTTAAGCCTGTGTCTTTGCTGCATTCTACACCAGGCAGCAAACCACAAAATATGGCTCCAGCCCCTCAAGAGCATGCTGAACTCCACATGCCCGGGAACACCAGGTGGGTTACCTAGGCCCAATATCAGGCAGTTTAGCAAAGCAATTCCAGGCAGGTTGTCTACAAATTGCCTGAGAAGTCTTGTGTGTACAGCAAGAAGCTGTATTTGGAAGAATCCTGTTTTTCTCCTTGCTAACAGGAGCAGACAGACAACATACCTAGTAGTGATAAAACACTACTCCTAGGGACATGGAAGCCACCAAGGAGTCTCCAAACAACTGCCACCTCCCTGTAACATGGATTCCTCCAGAATTCCCAGTCTCTCAAACTCTGAAGAAAAGGATGTTTAGACAGGTTTCAAATGCTTGGGACATGGGTTGCAGTTATCTGAATAAGCCTGATGGAATCCCAGAAATAATGGTGGAAGGCAGGCAGCAATGAGCCGCTCACATGGCCAATGAACAGCAAGTTCCAGATGTTTCAGAGACTTCTATAAAGAGCATCTCCCACTTCCCTGAGCTCACCTCAACAGGTGCTGGTTCTTTTGGAGGCTCTTCCTTTGTCACTAAGGTCCGGGACACGTTTGTCAAGGCCTTTGTCCGCATAGGAGAGGGAGGTGCAGGTGGAGCTGTGTACGTATCATTCTGGACCACTTTAGTCAGCGGAACAGTCTTGGACAGAGAGAATTTATTGCCACTCATCCCAGTCTACAGGAAGAAAGAATAAAATATCTCTGAGAGCTGCAGGCTACAAAAGCCATCCTTCTTTTTCAAGCACCAACAGCAGGAGAGTATTACTAGCACTGCAGGTCCTTCCCGGTGTCAAAACTGCTACAGTGCTGGAGACCTTCAGCTCTGGGACAAAAATCAACTAAAGTTTCTGGGCATAAACATAAAAAGATATGTTTATTCCAAAAGAGCACTTCTCTCACTAACGAGCATTTTTTAGTTTCATATTGTTTTTAAATGAACTTTACCAGTGTGACTTGAATTTGAAAAGCTCCTTTTATCCAAAGATTTTCAGGTACTTTACAACGTGTTCACAAAGATTGCTCATTAACAGTAAGATTGGGCTGCCCTAGTACAAAGAGCAATAATTCTTCAGAAACACCAAGCTAGGGCACACAAAGACATGGAGCACAACCTTTCTAGTTGGAACTACACCAGTTTAAAGCCAGACTAAAAATTGTGCTTGGCAGCTGCTGTGAACACTGGAGATAGCCCATTTACTCCTGAAAAACAAACAAACCAGAACAACCCATAAGGCTGTTTTTAAGGATCACAAATGGTTAGGAGCTCTATTCTGAATATCCACACGAGAAAACCACCATGGGATAATCACTGCATGAGACTGACTGTGTGATGGTAAAACCACATGAATCTGCTTTTTCAGAACCACAGAATAATTTAGGGGCCTTATCCAGTTAAACTCTGAATATCTAAGAATGGTGATTTCACCGCCTCTCTGGGTCCCTGTGCCAGAAGCTGATCAACACCCTGATAACTGCACAACTCCATCACCAAACTAGAATTTCTTTTGCTGCAACACATTTGTTGGTTCGCCTTCTCCCTGTTCACTCCTGAAAAGGACCCGGGTTTTGCCTTTTCTATGACCACATATTAGGCAGTGAGAGCGGACAGATCTCACTACAGCCTTCACTTCTCAGCCTTAAGAGACACTGCGCTCTCACCCTCTCACACATCATGCGCTGCAGCCCTCTGACCACCCTCTTGTACTAGCTCCAGTCTGTCAGTGTCTTTCTTGCATCACACAGCCCCAAAATAGGCACAGAACTCCAGGTGCATTCTCAGATGGGAATAATTATCTTCCTTGATTTGCTGGCTACAATCTTACTAACATACAATCTACAGTTGGCCTTCATTGCCAGAAGGATGCACTGCTAACTCATTCGTAGTGTATCACTCAGCAGGACCCCCAGGCTCTTTCTTAGCCAGTCAGTTCTCAGCTTGAGTTGCAGAGGGTTATCCCATCCCAAGAGCAGGACCTCGCATTTGTCTGTGTTGAAATTCCATCTCCTCCAGAGCATCAGTACTCCTCAACAAGCTGCCAACTAAGATTCTCCATGGCAAGAGATTTCCTGCTTTGACATCCAGTCTCTAGAAAGAGCAGAAAGCTTCCTATGCTTGCTTGCTCAAACAATAACCAGATAGGTTCAAAGCACTTCCCCAACAAGAAGAAAGTCAAGAGCTAACAAGCAGCAACCTGCCAGGAAGGGAGTAAGCACACATTCTGGCTGCAAAAGGCTTATAAAACCACAGTTAGCCTACAAGGACTCTGTCCCAAAAACAACACTAGAAGCATTGGCACAAAGGGAAGGGTGGAGCGAAGAGCAAACATTTCAGGGGAAAGCATCGTTTACATACTTTAAAAGAACATAAGCCCTGTAAAGCCGCAGCCTGTGTGTCCACCCAATGTGAGCATGGCGTGGTGGGGACTGTTCAGGTAATCCCTTACCGCGTTGTGCAGGAAACTGTTTGTGGTGGTGATTTTCATCTGTTTGCTAGTAAGAGGAGAGACACTTTCATCATCATCTTCCATGTCATACAGACCCTGAAGAGAAGCAAGGTAATAGTTTACAAGCAGGCAGATTTGACCTAGACATTTCCAAAATAAGTAATTTTCTCCTGTCTTCAGCCTTCTTCAGGTAATGAACATGACTACACTGGACTTTACTCCTGTCCTTGCAGCTTGGGGACACAGAGCTGAAGGCACAGAAGTCCATTTCAAAACATCAGTGTAAAAACCATCAAACTTCTCCAGAAATGCCATAGTAAAGCTGCTTCCCTAGGTGTACTGAAACCACACATAGATTTCTCTAATCCCTAGACCTCATCAGAACTGATGAAACCACATTAACGGAATAAAGCCTCAGCATCTTGCTTTTTAGCACCCTGCTACCTTTAAAGTTGATGCCTGTGCATGTGATTTTTTTTTTTTAAATTAGTTTTTTATTAAATGAAGCAGGTGCCTGCCAAATACATCTGAATTGAGCGTTCCTTTTGAATAGCCTGCTTTCCTCAGCACAGCACACATCCATCTGGCACTAGAAAACACTGCACTAGGAAGTTTACTGAATGAATAATTAATTTCCCAGTTCAACTTAACACTCATAGCCCTGCCTTAAAATACTGAGGCAAACTCCCACACAAATGTTTTTTTCCATAGACTCTGAATAATGTTAAGAAAAAGTCTATACACATATGGCACTGCCTAGAACACAAGAAGTCACAACTCAAACCAGCTTCCCATTAATTCAGTAGAAAGGTAAAGAAAAATGGAGGGATTAGCAATGAGAGTTTGCAAAATAAGTGGGTTTTCATAGTCAGGAAGATTCTGGTTTACAAACAAGAAGGCTGTTCCAGTCACAGAAATGCTATGAAGAAAAAAACCAAAAGGGATGGTAGAACAGAAGAGACGTGTGCGGAAAAGAACTGGGAAAAACGCTAGGCATCAGGACAACAGACTTGCGTTTGAGATAAATGAAATGGCATCAAGGCTTATACTGATGAGGTCAAAATAATGAAAACGCTTCCTTAAGTGACAGCATCCGGGATAGCTGAGGGCAGCAGGTCAACGAAGAGGTAACACACACAAATAGCCGAAGTTACCATAACTGAGGCCAAAAAAACCCAGAACATGATACCGTGAATGCCAGTTTTCCAGTATTTCAGGCAATATTTTATGTACACACACAAAAAAAATAAAGTAAATAATAAAACCATGTAATTACTCTCCGACAGCACCCAAGGTGGTAAGGTGGCTGAATGGCTGAGGGCTGTTACAAAGGCCTTTAAAATTGATCCCAGAAGAGACAGCACAAATTCTAGGGTCTTCCTCAAAGACTGCCTAATAAGGGATACGGCAACTTTGAAAGTACATCAGAATAGCAGCTAACATCCTTCACTATCAGGTTTCCAGCAGGAACCGACAGCTGTGATTTCACAGAAAGGTTATACCCTCTCCCATCTCACTGTAGAACATTTGACCATGTACAATTACATCCATTCTCTCAAGAGGCTGGCAGGATGGTGAATCAAAACAACCAACAACTTGATCTGATGTGGTGTCACTGAGAAATTTACACAAAGACATCAGAGTTAAGGGTCACAGTCCCTAGAAAAAAAAACATTAACACATACAGATAAAACTGAGAATACCTACTTCGCATTCATGTAACACACGAGGAATCAAGTTCAATTAGAGCAAATGAAAACCTCAATTACTATCAAAGTATCTTAAGCAGGCCAGAACAGGGAGCTAAGCTGTTAGAGAACTTCCAAAGGCTTTTCTTTCCTACTTAAAGATTTCTTTGTGCCTGCCAATGTTAATGGCCACCTTCGTTCCCCCCACAAAGGCAACAAATAAAGAGCACAAAGCAGGCACACACCTGTTTGTGTGTATGGTTGTTCACCACATTGATCTTCATTCCTGCAAAAGTGTCCAGGAACTGGAGCCTTCTGCTACAGTTAGAGAGAAAGAACGAAAGCATTAAACGCCACAGTCCACCAGGTCCCCATTTCAGAAGATCAGAGCTGTTAGCTGATAGCCTGAGACCACTTACAACAAAACTCACTCTCCTGCTCTTGAAACAGCCTAGCGCAATATGCTATTAGATAATGTCTGCGTTTCCTGTAATATGTTGAATATGAGATAGCTTCACTTAATCGAAGAAATGAAAACCTAAGGCCATGCAGAGAAACGGATTCAAATTACTTGAGTTTTAGTCCAAGATTAGTGGGAAAGGGACTTAACTCCAGCCCTGCCAGCACTGACTAGATCTACATTTCTGCCAACACAAAACAATGAATGGGGTAAATCAGTAAGTAAGCTTCTCTTCTTTCATGCTACAGGGAACCAAAGATACCTATTTCCATGAAACTCAGCAAGTTGGGACACAACACAATTTAATTCAGTTCTATTTCAAAGGAGAAGTATATACTGTCCCTTCACACCAGAACTGGAATAAGCTGTAGTGGAATAAAATGACACACAGGGTAGCGTAGCTGTCCCTTCTGGAGCTGTTACCCCATGAAACAGGAAAAGCACAAGAGAAGTGGTCAGGGAATGTAACTGTACTAATCAACAACTGAAATCCAGCAGCAACTCGCTCAAAAATGCCCTTTTAATTTTTGAAAAAGCTGGAAGCTGTCCATCACAGAAAAGAATGGGTCTTCTTACAAAAATACTCCATACAAGCAGTAAAATCTTCAGATTTGCACTTTCTCTAGACTGTAACTTACACCACAGCACCCTCGTGTTTCAATTTGCTACTCAATTCCGAAACAAGGGTACCTGTCCTACGGAAACACCAGCAGAGCTATGGAAATTCTTTGGGTTTCAAAGACTTTTTTCCTTCCTTTGTGAGAAACGAGACCACAGTACAGGACATTAGAGCTGTGCGCTGCATCTCAGATCAAGATACTTCAGTTTGATTCTGCTTCCACATTTGGGAAGAAAGGAGGGCCATGAGCAATTTGGAATTACACTGTAAATCTTTAAAAAAGATTAGATAACTGCTCATATGCACGGTTTTGTCTATGGTCTTAATCTGCATTATATTCTACAGTATTTTTTTCTTGCACTATGTTGTCAAACAGAAAGTACTATAGGTCAAACCAAGTCATACAAAAAAAAAATCAGGTCAGAGCAAATTGCTACTGTGCCAAGTCTCTGGAAACTATTTTAACTCCTAGAAACTTTGTAGAAAATGTTCAACTCCTAATGGCTGATGATGGTGATTTGGCTTAGGACAGCATAAGTACTAATTACCCTACTAATTAAAGGCTACCAAACAGACTACTCTATTGCTCTGCTATTAGCCCTTCTTACTGCCACAAGAGTCCTTTCTCTTTCTTGGGTCAGCCTGGCAGTAAAGCTGCCACGTAATGGGAAATTTCCTAGGCTAATTTACAGAAGAAATATTTTTGATACTCTTGAGCAAAACCCACAGCTGAGCAGAAAGCAGGCTCATCTAGGCATTCAAACTGATGAGAACAGGAGGTTTTCTGGGTACATGTAAGCACACTGTTGATCTTCGGGAGGAGGAGAATGAGAGAGGGAGGACAGAAACTTCAGTTATGTGCTTGGTAGAGATGAGGAACAAAACCACTCCTCAAACAATAATCCTGACAGACTGGAAACTTCTCTTCTAACTCTACCCACTGTACCTAACATACACATAAGGTCAGCAGTAACTGTTTCTCAGAGAAGTTTGCTAAGAATGAAGGTACTGCACACAGCAAAGTGAAATTAGAAAATTGTCAAAGGAAATCAGCAGGTTAGGGTGACCAGCTGATTACAGTGCAATTGAAATAAATCTTGAAAAAAAAACATGAAATCAGGCAACTCCCTGGAAGACAGGGCTCTCCTGAAAACCAGACAAATAGAAATAGAGAAATTGTAGAAGGGCTCATTGAATTTTAGATCTTCTTAGATGCAAACATAGCTGTCTATTCTTAACTGTGATCCCACCACTAGGATAAACCAATTATCTAGGCAGGACAAGCCACCACATGAGACTCGCAAAGAGAGGTGGTATAAGAATGACAAAAGATGCATACATTTTCTACGTATTTAGGTGGGAAAGAGACTACTTAACCATTCAAGACAACTACTTGAATGTTGACAGGAGAGCTGCTTTAGTCTTTACTGGGCCCAAAATTTAAATGAAAATTCACATGAAAGCTGGGATTCTACAAAAAGCCCCAAGCAGCTGCAAGGACACCCAAAACGCCCTGAATCCTGCCCTGCAGGCTGGACCGAACTGTCTCACCATCGCTCCTATTGTAAACAGGTGAACGTATTCACGTATTATCATTTCTACTGGACTGCTGTAGAGTAACTGAGGGGCTCGGAGGTGGGTTGCTTAACCTACTTGGATAGTTTTGGTGATTTTCACGGCTGGATTTACTGTCCCCATAGTTGGGCTGATAGCAGCTGGAGCGCTCCTTTTCAAGCTGATCTTCTCTCTGGCATCCACAACTTTGGTCACCTTTTCAGCAGCAACACTTTGCTGCTTACGGGAATTCAACATCTCTCGAGCATCCTGCACCTTCCCTTTGATTTTGAACCGAGCGTCCTTTTGAACCAGTTTTTCACGGGCATCTTTAACCCCCAGTTTGTGTCTGGCATCAGTGAGTCCTATCTTCTGTCGGGCATCAAACGTCCGCTGGAAGCTGACAGCTGGTGATGATCTATTTAGAAGATTTTGCTGGATCCCAATGCGAGATCTTACACCTCCAAACACTGGCCTTGTGTTAAGCCTGGGGAAAAAAAGAGAGAGTTTCAGACATTACAAGATGTAATACAGTACCAATAAAAGTATTTGAGTTGCTACAAACAAAAGCTCATTATTACTGCACAGAAATCCATTCAGGTTAGATGTCCAAATACAACAGTAGATCTCCTAAGCTGTTTTATGCTGGATTTTACTTTCTACACAAACAACTAAGGAACTGATTTCCAAAATCCATCCTGAAGCTCACATTTACAAACTTAAGGGTCCGTCCTCAGCTGTGCTAAGGACATACCACATTTAAACAAAATTCATCAACAGCTCAGGTATTTTGGGGAAACCTTTGAAGACAAAGAGGAACAGAAACAGACTTTCTAGCTTTAGGACTGAGCAGGTCTGCTAAAGCATCTTTAGTAACACAATAATATGCCCTGATACAAAGGAAACATGGAACTACACATGATTTCAAGAATTCTGTGCAGCAAGTTCAGATTTGTGGGAGTGTAGAGACTTGGATTTTAGGAAGTACAAGCACCAGTACAAATCTCAGTTCAAAGCCACAAGTCTCAAAGTTGACTAACTGCCAGCAAGGATACTTATCAGTCAAATTACTTTGTAATTTGCCTCTTCTTTAATCTACAAACAGAACTGCTGCACTCAATGGCCTTTACTTTTTAAGTAGATCATCATCACAATACTGAGCACAGAAAGATTAACAGCCCACAGAAAGGACAACATTTGTACTTGTACACAACTATTACTAAGCAGCAGCTCATTACGAAGTGAAAGCTGAAACTAGCTTCTTGTTACAGGTCTGATTCACTTTTTCAAAATCTCCTCTACGAGGAAGCAGCTTGTCTAATTTTTTAATACAGTTCCTCCTTTAAGCATTTTTTAAGGTTTTCTTTTTTTCCCCATTGGATTTCTTTTTTTTTTTTTTTTTTAAATAAGATGACAAAGTGGTAAGAGAAATTTCAAAGTTAAGGTACTGAAAAAATATTCTTGCTGTCGGCTTTTTAAAATTCAAGATAAGCTACAGACGGCTGCAATGTTCATCTGCTTTCTGAAATGTACTGTCCAGTATTAAAAAGTCTAAAAGTCGGTATCTAGAATGTGTTCTAATATTCAAAAGGCTAACATCACAAATTCAAATGATGATGCAATTTGAATTAATCATACAGCTTTATATCAGTATTTCCTGATCTAACCCTACAATCTTAACATTATTTACAGTCGGGTATTTTCAGTGGAGAGATCTGTAAAAAAAGAAAAAAAAAGATGAAAGACTGAACCTCCACTTCTGCCTCTTTCATTCTTGTGTCCAGACAACTGGAGAGCAAGGACTGGGGTCCCATTTTATTACCTAGCTGAGATTCCTACGGCTGCTCTCTCATACAGCCAAAGCACACTAGCTGGAAGAAACAGTAGTATTATTAAGACCATTCATTAAAACATATCCAGAATAACACAGAAGACTAACAGTACCCATAAAGCAACAGCCACCGAACAAGACTTCCCTTGCAAAAGTATTAACTTAGCTATGTTGAAAGCATTCAGTTGGAGTGCTGCAGAAGGGCTTGATGAATGGTTCTTTTTAATGAGCATAAAAGAGGTCAAAGTAAAACCAAAACCGTATGTATCAGCATTTAAGCCAGAATTAGTTAAAACCCTGAATGACACGAACTAATGAAATTGGTTAGGAAACTCTGTACCGAAGATTACACTGTCTCTGAAGACTGGTATTTATCCTAATAAGCAACTCTTCCATAGAGAATTGCTTACCCTGTAACGGCATTAACTGTTTAGGCATTTTGTGCCACAGCACCTGAAATAAAAGGGAATCTCAAACATCTAATTCACTTTCCAGAACTCCAAGTTCTGGCTTGGCTATTTTGTGGAGTAGTACATTTTATAGGTGAAGAGTCTGCTGTTATTTCATCTAGACTACTGAACAGCATGGATATAATGATCTCAGTTTATTCAGTTTATCCAGCCTTCACAAAGTCAAGTTAGCTACCTCAGAGATCTTACAAGGTGAGCTAAGCATGACAGACAAGAGAAATGCAAGGCATAAAAATTCTTATAGTGCAGCAGAGGAATTATTGTTCAGCAAATAAAAGCAGGAAGAATTCCTGGATGAAATGAGAGTTAAGGAGGGATTTGAGAAATGAGAAAGGAGGTGCTTGGCATAATAAGCAGCATAAGACTGTACAAATAAGCAGCGTAACATGAATGAAAGCACAAAGCCAAGGCCTTGTCTAGACTAGGATTTAAATATGCGTTTGAATGTTTTACCAGTATGCGTTAGCAGGTAACTTTCAAAACACTACTCTAGACATGTAAGTGTAGACATTCAGAGTTAAAACCTAACATTCCCCAATGCCCATTAAATTAAAAACCAAAACCAAACCAAAACGGAGCACACTTAGCTAATACAGCTGGGGAGAAATCCATGAACAAGATCTTCAGAAGTATCACGAGACCACGGCAAAAGGGAAGATGAAAAGCTACCAAAGGAGAAGCCAGGTAAGAACTGCCAACAGCCGCACTAGAGTAAGTGGCCCAGCCTACCGTGGAAGACATCTGCCGTACAAAGAAAGAATCTAATCTTGTAGCTAATACACACTCCGCGCAACCATTTCAAGCAATCTGTCAGAGTACCATTAACTATGCTACAGAGACTACATTTTCCATGGGCCAGGCAGCAATTTTGCTGAAGCCATCGCAGCCTGAAGCCTCGCCTGTGCGGATCCCCATCAGCTTCGCCGGCGTTAGGGCTCCCGGTGGCACACCACCACCTCCCACGGCTATCCCACAAAGCGACCCACCGCTTCTGGGAGCTGCGGGGGGGACCGGGCACCCCCAGGACA